CCTTCATATGCTGTAGCCACGCCGTCGAAATATTTTGTAAATTGAAATTTCTTTTGTCCTATTCTGACATTTGCCACATCTAAATTTGATCTCTTAAACGACAGATTCACTTTTATCAATGCATAACAGCAGATGTATAGTGAACTGGATAACGACAAAAATTAATAGTATATCAAATAAGCAAAAAAATTATATAATGGTGATAAATGAGAATAAATCATGAGTAAATTTCAATTTAAAATACAGCCTAATTAATTACTGTGCATCAAAATCAGCAACTAATCAACATCAAATTGAAAGAGTTTTCATGCTTTACAACATCTATCAGGAAAAACTACCACCAACATTTCAATACAAATATAAAAAAAATGCTGTAAAATCAATCTGTTATATAACGAACAAACTGTAATATCCATGCCTATTTTATAAATTGCAATTGGTTTGCACAGAAGTTGCCCTAGGCAAGATTATGGTCACATGGTGTTAAGTTCTATTAAAAATAAATAAATAAAATATTTGTCCAGGCAATTTAGACATTGACAGGTACATCAAGAACTCACATCAAGATGAAGGTACAATTTTTTAAAACATACTTAAAAATAACATATCAAAATTTCCCATCATTCTGATACATAAACAAAAATTTACAAGTCAAAGGTCAAGAAATGGGTATTTCGCTATTTTCATCAAAACTAAGTTTTAACGTAAAAATATAGATCATAAAATCATCTATAAAAACCACCGGAGCCACCGTTCATGAGATATAAAGCCGTAAACATAAAGGAAGCAGATTGAAGCCTAGTTGATCATTTATTTCAAAGGGCGGTGCCAGCTCTGACCAACGCGTGTCGGCACTTGTCGGCGCTTATCGGCGCTGGTCCATAGAAATACTTGCGCCGGTTACTGGTGAGGATTTTCATTATTTTGTAAACTTCATATTTTTTACTTGGTTCACACTTCTTAAGAGATCTAGAATAATAAGCAATGTGATGTTGATCACAGTTATCATCTTCTTGACCTAAAGAACTAGCATAGCAATGCAAAAAGAAAGGTTTTTCGAAATTTGGACATTCAAGCACAGGAGCAGTAATTAAAGAATTCTTAAGATTTTGAAAAGATCTTTCAGCATCATCATTCTATTCAAGACTTGTTTTTATCTTTTTGCTTACACCAGTCAATTTAGTTAAGGGAGAAGCTATATCCGCAAAATTTGAAATGAATATACTACATAAACAAACGAAGACCAAAAAAACTACAAAGATGTTTTACAGTCTTAGGACGAGGAAAATTTTCTATAGCATCTAACTTTGAATGATCAGTGTGTAAACCTCTACTATCAACATAACCCAAATAATGTAATCTTTCTTTACAAAATTCACACTTTTTTCATGCTGGATACTTATCAAAGCTGGTAGTTTTCTTAGGAGCTCCGTACCTACATAAAAAGAAGCAAGCAAATTCTGTTGGTGATAATTTCTTGTGGAGTTGAATAACTTTTTTAAAAACACGTTATTCTCACAGTTATACATAAGTATTTTTTAAATGTAAGTTACAATCAGTGACAGAAAAATATTTTTACTTATATTAGAGCTACAGAGATCGATCATATATATGTGACATACTTATGTTTATTATGACACTAACAATTTTTAAGTTATTATATCTCAGACAATTTTATGATCTACATGTTTTGTCTAAGGCCATTTTACAATAGAACTTTCCATTTTGATGAAAATAGCAATAAACCCATTTTTTTCCTTTGATCGATCGATTTTTTCTATGTACCAGAACAATGGAGAATTTTGATATATTATTTTTAATTTTGTTTTGTACAATTGTAAGTGAGTACAATTGTGCAAAAACAAATAGCTTGATGTGAATTTATGTACCTTCATTCTTATTTTTCTGTCTACCTTGACCAGACTATATGTTACTCACCACCCTTGTTGTTTTGGCACTCTTATAAGCTACTGGTGGTAAATTAATATTTTCTTTACTGCTACTTTTACTTGGTGGTGGGATTTTGACAAATTTTGGAATAGATGACATGCCAGGTAGTGGTTTCATCGGTCTCACATCTTTCACCAGTGGTGTCACAGGACATTTTTTTATGTATGAAGCAACAGGGCTAGCAATATGCTGATAAACATTGCTTCTACTGGGTGTTTTTTTCAGTGATGTTGCCGATGGCTTCTTCTGTGAGAGTGGATTTTTAGGCGTCTTAAAAAGTACTTTTTGCTTCAAATCTGTAAAAGGTGTAACACAACTGTCCATTGGCTTTTTTATATCACTGACAGGCGTGCAGTATGCAGATGACTTTAAATTTGGTTTCTGGTCTTCTTTTGCTAATGAGTTTATGTTCTCTTCTTTTGTTACAGCTGTCTCTTTTTTTACTACTTCATATAAATCTTTCTTTTTCTCAGATGGCTGGGAACCCTTACTTAAAATATAATCAATTATATCTAATGTGTTGTTTAATTGTGTAACTCTTTCACTTTCATCTGGGACACACAAATTGGTGACCATTTTCTCAACTTTTAAGAAACTATCATCTGCTGGTTTTATATTCCAGTTTGCATAGGGCTGTGTGTCTGGAGATAAACTTGTGTTTGAAATTGCTTTTTTAGCCAGATTATTGTGGTCTTTTCTGTTAAGATCTGGTTCAGAATGTGTTTCTATAATCCTAATATCTTCATTGTCGCTATTTCTCTTTCTGCAAACACAGAATGAAATTATTAGTGTGATTAGTACGTTTGACGACCTCCGTGGTCGAGTGGTTTGTACGCCGGGTTTCATGGTGTCACCGACTCGAAAGGTCCCGGGTTCGAATCCCGGTGGGGGCAGATGTTTGTGTGATGAATACAAGCATTTGTACTGCAGTCATGGATGTTTAATATGTATTTCTATATAAATATACTTATATATGTACAGTATATGTATTCTATCCGTTACCCTAGTATCCCATAACACAAGCCTTACAGTGCTTACTTTGGGGCTAGGCTAATTGGTGTGAGTGTTGGAAATATTTATTTATTTATATACTAATATACTAGTACATAAATATTATACAATATAATATACACACTCTTTTACCCGAGTATATAAAACGTATAATAAGCTGCTTCACTTATCATATAAATTTATTGTTTATTTTACTTGTAGTCTGATATTAACTTACTGTATGTTAGGTTTGTGATCACTCCACAAAATATGTTTTCTCACTTCTCTAAGCGAGAGTTTTCCGAAGAAAATTTCATCGTCACTAAACTGTTCATTAGGTAAAGGCCGAGCCATTCTGAGGTATTCCTAAAACAGATTGTATTAAGAAATAACAGATAAAACAGATTTATTTGCGATCCTTCAATCTTAAATTCCTTCAAAATTAACGAACAGGAGCCACAGATTGATTTTTTTTTATCGTTTTACCGGCCCTAACATCCAGTGGCACGCAGATTCAGACTGCTGCCACTATGGCCACCCTGCATAGACTACACTGGTTATTTCTCGCGCTTGTTTTCTGAGTCTGAATCTGATTCAACTTTTAATTGGTTTAATGGAGAAAAAAACACATTTATTTATTTATTTTATTTTTCTGTAATATTAATGTAGCACTATTTTAAAGCGCGTTTTTCTTGAAATCTAGCGATTATCATATCATTTCAGAGCTCAATCGGATTTTTGATTGGGCAACACTGCAAAGACGAAAGATCAGTGAGAGAGTTTGTAGCGAGATTTCATCGAGTGCCGTTGGCGTCTTATTTCAACTATTCTTAAATTCTTTTAAATATATTATGCTATTTCAGTCAAGTGGACGTGAGAACTTTATTGTAGTGTTGACTACCTCACAGAAGCTTATCGAAAAAACCAACTCAATACATTTCGTGCCAAACACTCCAAGAAATATTAGAATGCGTCACGCCGACATTGATGTCGATTCTGGTGTGATTCTCTAAACTTAAAACTAAATTTAACATCAGTCTCTCCTTTTCATTCTGTATAGAGAATGACAAGGATATACTGTTGTCAAATTTAAGTTTAGGTTTAGAGAATCATGCTAGAATCGACACCATTCTAATGTAAAAAAGGATGTTAAGATTCGTATTTATGTATACGACTGAAGAACTTATATGCATGGTCATGAATAATTAAAAAAAAAAGAAAGATCATCAGTGAATTAGAGATGGGCGTTTTTAGATATTTTTGAAATCGATGCGCATCGGTATCAGATAAATCGCATCGGATGCCGGCATCGCATCAATGGTATCGATTCTGGCACGATTCGCTATAACTAAACTTAAATTTGACAACAGTGTATCCTTGTCATTCTCTATACAGAATGAAAAGGAGAGACTAATATTAAATTTAGTTTTAAGTTTAGAGAATCACGCCAGAATCGACATCATTGTCAACCGAATGTCGATATCTTGTATCACAGGATACGATGCAATATGAATTTCTACAGATGCGTGTTTTGTGTGGGTGTGCCTCTTCGCTTCCTTGAATCAGGACTTGAAAATGTAATCGAAAACCATTTATTTACTTTTCGGTATGTTACCTGAAAAGATTAAATGCTGGCAAAATTATTACTTAAAAAATTTCACTCAGAGCGTAGGTTTTGAACGCAGGCAGGATGCCAGGTTTGGATGCGCGCATCCGATACGACCGGATGCCGTTAATGGATGCCGATTGCCGATGCCATCGTTACTATAGCAACTGTGCCACAAACTTTTCTGTGCCGGTGGCAAAAATTTGAACTACAATTTATCCATTTTGACATTTTTATGACATATTTGTTCACCGCTAGCGACATCTCCACCGGCACAGATAAGTTTGTGGCACTGTTGCTATGGTAACGTTGACAAAAACAAGATGGCATCGGCATCCAATAACGGCATCTAGTCGCATCGGATCGCATCCAAACCTGGCAACGTTATCACGCATCGTTATTCTAAAAACGCCCATCCCTACAGTGAATAAATAAATGTCATTGTCATATTTGTCATTGCACAAAACTATTTCTGATAGTATAACTCAAAAAATAGAGAAAAAGAAACAAGAAATTAATGTTATGATCATTAATTATTATCAGCACCTTTTCAAAAAATTAAAATGATTCGTTCTAAATTCACACCTGCGGCACTGGGCTTTCTACAATATTTTTTGACCTACAGAATCGTAAAATACACAACAAAAACTTTTCCACGAGTAAATAACATAAACTTGTATTGATATTGAAAACTGGAAGTATCTGTTTTAAATTTTATCAATTACAATTTCAGTTTAAGTTTCAACATTCCAGAGTTTTCATGATGTCTGCAAGCTTATTATTTTTGTGGCCTGTAAAGAAGTCTACCATTCAAAAACCATTGAAAAGTAAAATTGATTTAACTCCTGTGCTGAATACTGCTGATAATTTATTTGAAAGTGGACACTACGAAGAATGCTACAATTTACTTTCTGGTTGTAAGGTGAATTAATAATTAGCAGATAATTTAAATTCAGTAACTGTACAGGCTTTTCCAAAAAGTACAGGGAATTTTCTTTTTGGGATTATTAGAAATCACTGGTGTATGCGAACAATATGTGAAAAAGTAATGAATCTCACATATTCAGGCTACCATACCAAGCCAAGGTGATAATTTCAACGAATTCATATTCCACACAAAATGCCAGAGTAAGCTTCTTGAAAAAAACAATGTAAATGTAAACTATTTTTTTTATTCAAATTCAAACATACCTGGTTCTTTTTGGAATACCCTATATAAGAAAGTTTAAGCATTTTGTGTTATTATTTATTATATAATAAGAAAGGCCTGTGTTTGTAGTGTAGTATAGTGGCTAGTGTATATCTATAGCAGAAGGCACAGATTCAAATCTTACCTTACACCCTTACTGAGTTTTTTTTTCTAGAAATAGTTTCATTTCATATTATTCCTAATGTTTTAGGAGTCTGATGTGGAAATAAGTTGGAGAGTATGCCGTGTCCTCTACAACATGTCCAAAGAATCTAAGTATGACAAAACATATAAAAGAGACCTTATTTTAAAAGCTTTTGAAATAATATCAAAAGAAATTTTAAAACACTATGATCATTTTGCTGTTCAAAAATGGTATGCATTGATTTTGGATGCCAAAAGTTCAAATGATGGTATCAAAGAAAGAATAAAACAGCTAGAAAATATTAAGAAACATATGGATGTGAGTATACCAATAGGAATTATGATGTACTCTCCAAAAAGTTTATCTAAGTAATAATTTTTTTATGCTTTTTATATAAAAAAAAAATCTCAGCTTGCAGTAACATTGAATCCAAATGATGCAACAACTTGGCACATGTTAGGTGAATGGTGCTATCAAGTGAGTGAACTGCCTTGGCATCAAAGGAAGATTGCAGAAGCTTTATTTGGTTCTCCACCGCAATCCACATATGAAGATGCTTTGGAATATTTTTTAAGAGCTGAGGCTGCACAGCCTCGTTTCTACAGCATTAACCTTTTAAGGCTTGGCAGCTGTTATCTAAAATTAAAGAAAGAAGATCAGGCTAAATACTATCTAAAATTAGCAGCCAGTTATCCAGCCAAGTCAAATGATGATCACCTTGCAAATAAAGAAGCAGCAGAATTACTTAATAAGTTAAAATGACTGAAAAGATCAATGTCACAAATTACTACTTAGTATGGTGAAATATGGATTAGAATTTATATTTTTATAACCAGTTTTGACATGGCCATCTTTATCCCTTTTACAGATTTACAATGTATTACTTGTATAGCTTTACCCAGAAATGACAAATTAATTTATTGCATTACTATGACACATGTTGTCTCATTCTATTTGCTTTGTTAAAATAGGGTTTATGTTTGACTTATATGAGTGAGGTCAATAGTGTAAGAAAATAGACAACCCACATTTAAGGTGGATTTTTCCAACAAGGATTAAAGTTCACTCTAAAAACACTATGTCCAAAAGGATCAACAATTGCTGTTCTGGTATGTCCATACTTACCCTTTTTGTTTTAATTTAAGTACTTATCATATTAATATTCTATAAAATACAGTCCTTGTATGCTTGTGTTTCATTTTCATTACCTATCTATTTTAATGGCTGCTAAGCTTTTAAAACTGTAAAAGGCTCAGTTTTATGGTAAAATACCAACGATATTAAATACCCGTATTTAATGTACGGTAATAAATATTGTTGGGAAAAACCAATAAAAATATGGTGATTTCTAGTATGAGCAGCTGTAAGCCCCAGAGACTACTTAGATACTACCACTCAGTGCAAAGAAAACAAAACTTGTTTAAAACGCGATCTCCATTACCAATTTTAAGGGCCAAATGAAGAGGCGTAGCCCCTGGCTAGGGTAAGCAATCGGGGTCCGGGCTTGGGAGGTCCGGATCCTGCATTGCACAACAGGGGCCTGTTGATGGTTAGGGATGCCTCGGGGCATCCCCATGATGGGTGGGTCTCGAGTCGGACACTCACTGGTGAGATCGCGGAAGTATCCGGCCATTATAGACACACTATAGACATATACGGGCCCGGTAGGCCCGTCGGTAAGGTGAGGGGCATCGTCAGATTTTTAGTGGGTAGAACCCCCCCCCCCCTCCCTCTCGAACAGCCGTTGAGCCAGCTCTAGGTATGGCTTAGCGATTAGATGCCGCGATGCCATCTAGTTTTTTGTCACCGTTACAATAGCAACAGTGCCACAAACTTATCAATGCCGGTAGAGTTGTCCAAAGCGGTGAACAAAAATGAAGCAAATGTGTCAAAATGTAGTTCAAATTTTTGCCACCGCCATAAAAAAGTTTGTGGCACTGGACTACGTTCAAAACCAACACTTACACCAAATCCGATCCGCGGATCGGATCGTGGCATTACGATCCGAAAAATCGGATCGACGACCTGGATCGCACATCCCTAATATCGTAGGAATGCATTAAAAATAACTATTCCGCCAGCTTGGATTTAGTATGACGTCACACAGCTAACCGTGCTTATTAATCAAAATGTGTAGGGTCAGTTCGCCTGTTCGCGTCCATTTAGTGCAGTTGGAAAGTTTGACGGCGATAATAAAAATATCCCAGCACTAATTTCTATGAAAAATTTATGTAATCTGTTTATTATATAGTCTATTTCAAGATTAACTTTCAGTTTTGTTCGAAACATCTATTGTTTTTTATTTCTAAAATTAACATAAAAGAATAAAAAACTTACCATCGAACCTTCTGACCATGTGTTCGTGCCTCTTATATATTAAGGTATTAGCGGTAATTACTTTTCGTTTGATTGGTGTGTTAGCTTACTTATTTTTGAGGATTTTTTAAGGGAGATCCGTAAAATGGACGCGAATTGGGCGATGGACGCGAACAGGCGAACTGACCCTATATGTTACACTCAAAGATCGAAAACGCTGTGTGCGGAAAAATAGCTCACAACGCGTTGTGGTCACAGTAAAACATCCACATCGCGAAATTCTTGTTATGGCTCTAATAAAAACGCGCACGACGCGTTGTGGCAATCACAGAAAGACCATATAGCGAAATTCGTGTCGTGGCTGACATGCTATTCGATCTCAACGCGTTGTGGCAATGAAGAAAAGCCATGACGCGGTCTGAGCATTCATTGTTTTAACCATATCACGACGGACAGGTTGTAAGTTGATAGAGGACGTGCAGCACCCAGGAATGCTGTGTGTTGTTATGATCATTAATTCATCAGGTCTCTTCCAGTTAGGAAACAAGGAAGGTACATTCGATAGACTTTATGCACGTAATGAGTTTACACTTTCTGAAACCAACTTTATTAACTTTTGTGATGTGCCCTCAACTTCGTCATTAACACTTCGCTCAGCATCTATGTTATCATCTGGAAGTAAGGAAGGGTTTATAATGTGCCACTGCAAAAGATAATGGGACCAATTCCGGCGTTACATTCTCTAAACCTAAACTTAAAATTAGAGTGCTAATTTTAGTTTAGGGTTAGAGAATTGGTATTCTGAAATTGCTAACTAACTAAATTTAGGGACACGAAAAAAGTATCGATACTTTGTGGTATCGAGTACTTTTCCTTTCGATACCGATACTTTTGTACTCGATACTTTGTATTCGATACTTTTACTAAATGAGTACTTTTTGGCAAGTATCGATACATTTAAAAATTTGGATAAGCGCCTCATATTGATGGCAACGCCATCTTGTTAAATCATAGCAAACCTTTTAAAACGTTCCATAGGGTATTTGACAAGTTTTAGGCAACGATCTCACGTTATTGACTAATGTTTATGGAGTCCATAAAAAGTGGATATTCATCATTCTGTCGTGTATTTCAGTAAAAATAACCAAATCAAAAACTCCATTTTCAAGTTGCCGCGAAAACGTTTCTCTGGATAATATGGCGTCTTACTAGTGTGTGTGTTATTAAAACGTCAAACGATACAATGTAATGTCACTTTGACCGGAAGTTTACTTGCTTGTGACGTCATTTTAGGCTCCGCCAATCCGAAGCGTTTTGGATCACGTGACAATAGATAAGAAAACTAATATCTTTTTCGTTATTTTGGCACTTTATTTTTACTGTCAAATGACCTATTGCGTTGTTATAAAGTCAGTAACTGACATATTCAAATTCTTTCCAATCTGTGATTGTGTTTATTTTGCGCTTTGTTTTGTTTCATAGTTATTTATTTAGCGACCATATTGTTAGGAACTGTGATTGATTCGCCGTTTATTGTGCTTTTCGCTTGACTGTATTTGATTTATTCAAGTGTAACACTATTATTCTGTCTGTGCTGTGTATACTTATTTGAAACCACCTGAAAAAAAGAATATTAATGAACAGTTTTTAGTGTCAGAAATCACAGCTATTTTCTTTTCATTATATGATATAGCAATTTGTGAATTTACATGTCCTTTTTTTGTTTTTGATTATGCGTACTATAATAAAATTCGATTGTTTTTCTTTCAATTTCAACACAGGGGGGGGGGGGGGGGAGGGTTGCTCATCAGGCCACAGAGGCTCCGATAAGGCCCTATGAAGTGTACTCGATACTTTGAAGTATCGATACTTTTGTTTCGATACTTTTACGAGTACGATACTTTTTTACCGATACTACTCATGAGTACGGTATCGATACTTTCTATTCGATATCGTGTCCCTAACTAAATTAAGAGAACAGTTGACAGCTGTAAACGAGCATCTAAATTGAATTCACAGATTATGTAAAAGCATTGAACCGGTGATTATCGGTTTACTCAAATTAGCAATAATTACTTATTATTCAGTGATTTTGACTTATTTTTTTATTTTATTTAAGTAAATCTTTGTTGTTCTTTATCATCTTTAAAATATGAAAACTTAACATAACTTTGTTATTTTACTGTATGAAAAATTATGAATCAATAATATTAAAGAGTGAATACTTGCCTACTCTGTGGTACTTAGAGTTTCTAGATTGGGAGTGTTTATCTTTATTTTGGGGAAAAATAAGAACTTGGAGAAATGTAATCTGCGGGGAGAACTCAAGGAATCATATTTTTTCTTTGAAAAAGCCAAGTATTTACTTGAGCTAAACGATGTGACGAAAAAAAATGGGTGCGTGTACTTATGTAGGCGCGTGAGAAGTTATCCTTCTTTGGCATCGTTTAAAATTAGTTTTTAATTGCATGCAAATAATTAATTACAATAAATTAATAAAAAGTCAATAAAGTTCAGTTTTAATTTGAAAAAATAAATAAATAATCAAAATATTCAATTAAAATCGCTACTGAATATAATTTATTAGAACATAAAATATGTGATTTGCACTTGTATGAAACTCAAACACGTATTCCGAATATACAAACTAGAAACATGTGGATAAATATTATAAATATGAATACCTATAACTGTTACTTTATTACAAAAACTAAAGATGTGGTTTTTGGTTCTACTACACCAATGGTCAAGAGATGGCGCTGTAGTCTCCTGAATCGCGCTTTGGTTCCGTTGTTCCAGATTAATAAATACTTTTTGTTACTTTATTACAAAAAATAAAGATGTGGTTTTTGGTTCTACTACACCAATGGTCAAGAGATGGCGCTGTAGTCTCCTGAATCGCGCTTTGGTTCCGTTGTTCCAGATTAATAAATACTTTTGATAGGCCTTCACAATGCAGTCGTTAGCACCCACTAAATAGAGATTCTATTTCTATTTTGTTGGTAGATTTTCTTAATGTGCGGTAAACACAAAAGTAACGCATGAAGTTGGTCGCTAAAGCGACCAACTTCATTATGTTAAAATTTTGTGTTACAGTGATGCGCGCGCATCTTAAAATTTCACTCTCATCATTTTTTCGTAACGCGCCTAAAGAAGTATAACTTCAAAAATTACAAAGAAGTGCATCGAACGAGCAATTGGGTAGGTACCGTTGCGCCGTGATGCAGTCTAATCATTCAGATGAAGTAAATAGGGTAAGTGTACCCGTCCGAGCAAAAACGTTTATTGTTTTGTCTGATGTATCACTACGATTGCCCGGCGGCACCGCGCCGGCGCTGTATTCATGCAACGGGCCGTGGCCGAGCCGAGACGGGACCAAGTTTTTTCCGAGCGTTGTTTCATTTGTTGCTCGGTTGTCAGTCGGTTACTGCATGACAACCGAGCATATAGCGTATAAATAGCGTGAATGTTATATTTATGCACATAATCCATGTAAAATAAATTATTTAATATTAGTTAACTAGAGAAGTTCGATGGCGCAGACGATTAGCTCGTTCGGCTGCGATCGTTGAAGTTAAGCAACTTTCGCAGTGGTCGGTCATTGGATGGGTGACCAAACATCTTCTATGTCGAGTTCTTCGTTCTCCCGGCTGCATCTGCAGTCGTTAGCACCCGCCAATCCGCACTGGGCCTGCGTGGTGGGTCATGGCCTAATCTCTCTATTTCATCCATAGGGAAGGCCTGTGCCCCAGCAATGGGGACATTAATAGGCTGATGATGATGATGATGATTAGTTAACTCTGCTACGGCCGACAGGGTCTAACGTGAACCATCCTTGAAAATTTCTCGCATCGTAAATTCCCAATCCAGCGTATCTATCTAATACCTATAATTTCGGTTTCGGTAAGAGATTGTAAAATTATCCCTTCGGCTATTTTGTGAAGATTTTATTCTCATTTATTGTATAATCCGAGATGCGTAACCTATTTTTATCTTTTTTGTTTCTATCAGTTTTTGGCGAGATCATCCCAATTATTCATTTGGTGAAGATGCCCAGTTTAGGATATATAAAAACAAACTTTTCAATTACAAACAGTAGGTACTTATTTCGTGTTTGGTTATTTTAAGAAATATGATTAGCTTATAAAAAGTTGGAAATAAAAACATTTCTAACTAATAGGTATTAAAACTGCTTCATAGAAACAAAACCACATAAAACAAAGGAACAAATAATACATTAAAGTCTAAAGTACCTACATTTAAAGTCAAAACAACATTTGGATTGCAATTGGTGATTGGAATGCAAATCACTGACACCATACCTCTATTATCTTGTTAATTATTTGACTATGTACTTTAGATGTAAGTAGGATCTGTAAGTATTACTTATAGAATTAGTACATAGATTTTTTACC